CGGGCGATGCGGCTCCTTTGATGACTTATCTCGTTCCGGAAGGACGGACATCGCAGGCGCGTGACGGATCACAGGCAATGTCGGCTCGCCCTCGCGGGCGGCGCTGGTTGGCTTTGCACTCGATGCGGCTTCGGGGTGCTCGGATCTGGCCTCCGATGAGACTGTTGTCTCGAGCACAGCCTTCTTGGCATCTGCACGGAGCTGATCTTCATACTGCTGGGTTAGGGCCTTTCGGTCCTGGCTGCCGAGCATGACCCACATGTCGGACGGAATATCGGGAGGCCTTTTGGATCCGGCCTTCCTACGGACGAGCCGAACCCCATCCCACACATAGCCATCGGGTACTGGTGACCCATCAGGCATTCTGCTCGGGTCGAATGCACCGCCTTTGTCAGGCACGACAGGCTTGATCTTCGCTTCGGATTTCTCCGATGCGGCGGGTTCCTCGACGTGGGCTTGCCCACGCTCCAACGGCACAGGATCGTTTCGTGTCCTAGCATCGGCAACAGGTGGATGAGATGCAGGGTCTTTCAACAACCTCATCGGGAAGATGAACTCATCAGTCGGAAGACCGTGAGGGACGCATGTTCGATATGGTAATCAAGCCCCTCTAGTTTTGCAACAAGGAACTCACCTTTCCATGCGAACCCAGGCTGAATGTGGTACCCGAGAAACACGCCTTCATTTGATGTTGGCGAAGTCTTGCCTGCCTGATTGTCAGCTCGTGCAGGGTTGTTCCAGAACAGTACCTTTGCTCCGAAGGGTATCTCAGCTTCATCAAAGGTCTTGTGAAACCTGAGGTACCATGGCGAATCGTTTCCGTTCAACTGCGGCAGGATGTTGGTCGCAACTGCATTGTGCTGGATTGCAAATGGCCACATCGACAGTGGGAACCCTGACTGAACAAGGTTCGCACGTGCTCCCTCCAACAGATGTCTGATTTCCCTTTCCACGAAAGATTTGGAAGAATCAACATATTCAATGGAGGTCTGATGACGGTACCCCAACTGCTCTATTGCGGCTTTCAATTCCCGGGAGTTATCGGTGTAGAGGACCTCAACCTCATCCCTACCGGAAATGAAATGCTGGATCCCTGCAATGGATTGCTCCGTGCTTTTGCCGGTCGACGGATAAACGTACCTGAACTGCGTATGCACGTCCTTGATCACAAGAGCACACCATTCACCTTTGATACCTTGCTCGATGTTGGCCTTGAGAATCACATGATCAGCAATGATGTGATCTCCAAACGCTTTCGTCTCGAGCCTTCCCTGCCCGCCTTTCGATCTTGCATATGGGGCAAGCATCTTGGCACGTTGGCAAGTGCGGCAAAAGGGATTCTTCGGATAGTGTGCAAACAGGTGCTCTTTGGTACTTGCTTCGGCAACCAGATCTTGCTCTTTGCGGGATCTCACAAACCGCTCAACTTCGTCGTCGGGATCATCACCTTCGTCGATGCCTTCGTCATGAACCGGTGCAGGCGCTGGCTTGGATGCTGCTACTGCACTCAACGATGGCTCAGCTTCACAACTAGAATCCATGTATGGCACATGACCGTGAACCTTGAGCTGGATCAGAGCACCATCAGGGCGAACCATGGTTGGCGCCTTCCCGGATTCCCAATGGAAGGAATATCCTTGATCCAGGCACTTCACACCCAGCGACAGCACTGCGGGAGAACTCTCGAGGATGTAAGGCTGAGCAGGCTCACACAATGCATCGACATTGATGTCGGCGATTTCGGAAGCAGTGATGTTTCCGTTTGCAGTCACAAGGCGAATAGGCTGAGGAGCCTGTTTTCGGATTGCCTTGGACGCATTCCTCAGTGCAGCTTTGCTGATGAGGTCCTGCTCACTACCGGAATCAATGAGCCACACATCCTTTCCCTTTGGTGCAGGGGTGGCTGCCCTTGGCGCTTCGACATCCTTGCGAACATCGTGAGGCGGCATGGCAATTCTCAGGCACTCATCACACGATAGGCTTGAGATGGAATCGGATTCCACATCGCACATGAAACCACAAGCGGGCTGGGCTCCATTCTCATTGGCTTTGATTACGGCATTCAACTGGTTCGCGGCCTTGCGTGCTGCCTTGTTCGTCCCTTTGGTCGGCCTGGGGCAGTCCTTAGCATTTGGAAACATCCTGTTGTACTGCCGTTCCTCATACTCAAGCTTGAAACCATCGCCTTCGGCGGGGATCTCATGCACGTGAGCGTTAGTGTCGAATGACACCCCAATCGGATTGATCGGCTTTGCGAACATGGCGTACCTGGTGCAGACTGCAGCGGCCTTGGCCTTGGGCTTAGGCTTAGGTGAATTTGCACGCTTCTTAGCCGCAGGATTTGCATTGGCCTCGTTGCTCGATGCCGCGGCGGCTGATTTGCCGCCCGTGGAGGCATGGCTAAACTTGCATGCACTTCCCTTGGGCAAAGAAAGAACACGGTGCTTTCTCTCCTTTATTGCCTTTGGGGGAACTCGGCCTGCCACGGGTCGCGGAGCGTCCTCGCGGCTCCTTGCGGTGCGCGTAAGGGCAGTTTGCCCCCCTCGTGCACGAGCCCTTCTGGAAGTCAAAGCAGTACTTTTCCTCGGTGTCCTTCGGCTTAGGTGCGCTCTTTTTCTTGGGGTCCCTCTTTTCAGGGGCGGCGGCACCAGCCTTGGGCGTCGGGGCTTTACTGGCATTGACTTTGGACACGCGCTCTCGGTTCTCGCGAAGCCTATCCCTCTCGATTAGATCCCTCATGCAACGCATTAGGAAATCGTACGACTTGTTGGGATCATCATCACGGCAACGATCATATGTATCAATGTCGTACCGCAACAGATGGCAGCTTCTCACTCGGCGAAGCAGGATGTCTTTCAACACCTTTTCTTCTGGCGGCCTTTTCATGCCGGCGATCACGGAATCCCAAGCGTTTAGGAAACGCTTGAGATCAATGATTCCTTCGCCGTGTCGCGAGACACGCAACAGGTCCTCCAAGGAGTAGAGGTTTCCGGCTTCTTCACTGGTCTTGAAATATTGGTCAAACATAAGCAAGACCTGCCTTCCTCTCATGACCTTTCCCTCCTTGGCACATTCTTCCTTTGCTGTCAGGATTCGCTGAGCCAGATCGCCTTTCGCTGAACGCGTGAGCGCTGCGAGAATCTTCGTGTCTAGGGTCACGAATTTTCCCGGTTCGCCGAGCTCCTCCAACAGCTTCTTCTTATCCTCGCGGTCGGACCAGACTTCCATGATCCAAGGCCAAGCCTCGTCTGGACGGTCAGATGCAGCGCGGACATCCTCACGAACCGATGTCTTCCATTCACGGTACGTTTCAGGAGTTGGCATCTCCTTGAATCGCAACGTCTCGCTTTCGCGGGTTCTGGGCTTTTCATCGTTCGTGTGGCCTTTCACTAACTTCATCAACATTTTGGCGAATGCTTCTTGCTTTCGGCAGTTGGAATCACGCTAGGGGTATATTCAACCTCGTAACCGTCATAGGTAACAAGCGACCTCAACTTTTCCTTTGCATATTGAAATGGATTGGACAACGGGTCCAACATTGACCTTTGGGACCGAGCTGACTTCATGTCGTCGGTCATCAACTCTGGTGAATCCTCTCGGGTATCACCTACCCCTTTGGGCTTCGATCTTTCCTCGCGGAGGTCGTGTTGCTTCTGATACCTTTTCAGCTCATCGAGCTCGTCCTGCAGAAGCCCGTTTTGGTAGGCCATCATATCGATCATCCTGGCGTTTTTCGCTTCGACACGGGCTGTGTCATCGGCGTGCTTTGCAGCTTGCTCATGAAGGAGCTGCTGGGCTTCCGCCAGGGTGGATTCGATGGCTTGCCTAAACTCAGTTGTTTTGTGTCCCATTTCCACTTCATGCAATGCTTGGGCGTTTTCCTCACACACTTGGCTTATCCTAGCTTCAGCGAAGTTCACTTCTTGGATGAACTCATCGCTCACTCGCTGTTCGTATTCACGAATTCTATGCGACTGGGCTTGCACACACTCAGCGTAGTGTGCATGCAGCTGATTCTGTGCGGCACGGAGCTCCTCACGGTTTTCCGCTTGCAAATGCATTACAGCTGAAAGCAAAGATTGCGGCATTGTACAGTTGAAGGGAATTCATCAGGGTGCGGTTATACTGTATACTGCGCATTAGCGCTTGACGCGAACATTCGCGCACCGCTGCCGGTGGCGTTGTCGGAGCTAACTCCGGCAGCATCCACAGGCATGTTGGATCCATCAACTGGCACAAGGGAACCGTCCATTGCTTGGAGCTAGGGGCCTACGGCTGATAACCTATAGATTCAAGGGTTACCGGTTTGGGGCCCAAAAGGAAACAACAAACCGTCCAAGTGCGCTGCTCGCACATTTTCACGCTTGAACAGCCACACTGCGGATGCAACGGATGTAAAACCCCATATTGACCGATCAAATTCTTCAGTTTCACGCGAACGCGACTGATTTCTGGCTGTTAGGTTGCTCCTCTTTTGGCCGGTTTATGCCCCTGAGGTTTGAACAAAGTCACAAAGTTGTTCATTTTTATCCACCCCTAGGGCGTGGTCAGCTGGTTCCCAACCCAACATGTGCAACTCTTCAAGTCTTGGAGTCCGGCAGAATATGTATGCATCTTATGCAGCACACCCTCAAACATGGCGAATAGTTGCAACATCCCCCATGCGAATCATGTTCACCAAAAGGCTCTCCCCCCCAATTTCAACTCATTCCGACTTCCAGCTTGAGCCGGTCAGCACATGCTCACGAAATCACCTGGCTACTGGCTACGGGCTGAGCAAGTTCATCCTCGCCTCCTTACAAAACGATATCAACCCACAACATCAAACAGGACTCTTTCTGAAACTCGGCCTATGCTGAGCAACTGCCCGAAATGGTCGACGCTGAGTCGTAGATGCGCCAGAGCCCCAACTCCACAAGGCGGCAACAAAGACCACGACGCGAGCAACCCGCGGGCAACATGAAGTATAAAGCGGCTGGGGGTCGGGTGCTCCGAGGCGCACATCCAGAATGGCGTAAGGGATCTTGCGATCCTCAGCTCAGATGCCCGGCCATGGGAGAAAAAGGGCATCCGATGGCATCCGATGGCATCTGTTTGCAGGTTGGTTGAATTAGGGCAGCCCTTCCCCCGAAAGAAGACAGCTGGGCGCCACTGGGCAGCTGGATCAGCACGAAGGCGCGCTTGCATCAGTGAGTTTGGAAAACTTGTCTGGCAACACGCAAACACCCCAAAAGACCCTTGGTTGACGTTGGAAGGGGAGCGGCAATCTAATCTTTAGCAGTTAAGTGGGGATTTCCCAGTAAACCACAATCAGCAAACATGTAAAATGCTTCCCAACAACAACCACAGACCCCCTACAGGGAAAATGTGTCACATGCGTCAACCAATCACAGCAATAGACAAGGATCCATCAATGGCACAGTCAGTCTCTCCAGATACCCGATCAGCCCAGCAACTGATCAAGCAGCCAAATCAAACCAAATTTGATTGAACGAACAAGACATGACACGCCGCATCAATAAAGCAAACAAGCAACCAACAAATCAAACGTACGATTGATCCACAACTCAACCAATCAACCAGCCCACTTTACTTTGCAGAACTTGCCTTAAGAAAGACTGTAACGAACAACGAAACGGAGCAAATGTTAGACGCATCAACAACACCCAGGAACACACAAAGCCAAGGAGATTGGCTTCTTCTACCAGAACAGAACCGCAACAAACATGTCCATGTCCACGCCACCAGTTGACGACCAAGACGCAACAAACATGTCCATGGCCTGGACATGTGTTGTTTTCCTCTCTTGACCTCTCTTCGGGAGCGTCATCTCAAGTTGACTGCATGGCACTCACACACACACACACACAAGAAGCGAGCGAGCGACGTGAGCCGATGAATGCTCCCTTACACTTCTCCCGGAAAAGCGGTAGCCCCTTTGAACGAATTCTTCGGCACCGTTTCCTTAGGGTCCAAAGAAGCAGCCATTTGACACCCCCATGCTATGGGTGTGTCTTTTGTTGAGGGCGCCCCCTTTTTCTGGTTGTTAAAGGACAACCAAAAGGAACACCACGATGATATTTAGTTTGTTTTTCCCCCCGAAGCATCTCTGATGCTTGGGTTCTGCTTTAGGTTCCTTGGGTTCCTTGGGTTCCATTCTGTTTTTTCCTTGGGAGGGGGCCTAAGCAAACAGCGCCACACCGATATCTCCCGTCGCGCGAAGAAAGCCGCTCCGGGGCCCGCGCCAGGGCCCCATCCAGGATCCGGCCGAAGCATTCAAGGCCGTCGGCCACGGACATGAAGTTCTCCCCCGGCTGCGGCCTCGGCACGCTTTTGGTCGAACATGTCTCACCTCCCACCGAGTGTACCGGGCAAAAAATACACATCTGAACTTGCGTAGATTGACCGACTAGAATGGTCTCGCAAAAAGTTGGAAGCCCAACTCGGGAAGTGAAAAGTTAAGTTGGACCAATCAATTTCAAGTTGGACCCCTACGTTGACAAAGCTGGAGCCCACCGAAAAGTGCAAAACACTTGCCGCTTGAGGCCCCTCGAACTTCAGCCCTATGGCCAACGTAGTCCAAGGAGCAGCCCACACCCTACCCCCACCCCCCCTGCACGGGTTTGGTGGGGTTGTCAGTCGCTCCCCTTTTCAAGCCCCCAAAGGGTACCCGGTACGCCTCAAAAACACGCACACACATACACACACCCATAGAAGTTAAAACTGGAAGCAATGGAGTCAACCTCCAAACTCAGTTGGTGGCCATGGGGTCCCATTCGTGCATTCAACTTCCTCAACATTCAGAGACGTCACCTTTGGGTTACCACTTCAAATGACTTTTGCTTTGGTAGGGTCATGTTTTTTTCAGAGGGATATACTACACAGAGGTGTCCTGTTCTCCTCTTGTTTTGGGTAATCAACGCAAGCGGGCGTCCTTTTCCAACCTTTGCAAGGGTCCCTTTTTAAACATCACACCTTCAATTGGATCACCGCGTGAGTTCTTCGATTCTCTGGGCTGCAAGTTCATGTTACCCACATGTCAAATCTCATCAAGTCCACACTGTGCAACCAAAAAGGAATGCATCCTTCATCGGGACGCATCATTCATCAGGAACACACTCAGAATCAGCATGGCCAGCTGCCAGCTGCCCAGGTTAATGCGGGGTAGAAGGTGCTTTGGTCATGCAGGTGTGATGGGCTCAGTGAAACAGAAATGCCTCTGTCCAATCCTGGAAGGGGCCAGAAGGCTTTTGCCCAAAGGAAAGTACACTTCCCACCCCCCTGTCAGCTTGCATCTGTGGACAGACGGGTGAACCAGCCCCAGCGCGTCATCACGCTCCCGCGTAAAAGTGGCGTCTGAGGTCTCGGCTTGATCCCTAGATCCGTTGCCATGCCGGTCTCTCCCCAGCCTGTGCAGGCCAAAGGGACATTGTCTCAAAGGGACTTGTACCCGAAAATGGCAACGGTGTCCTTTGTGCTTGCCTCTAAAACCCACCAAACCAGCCTTCCCTCCCCCCCAAAAAAAAGACACACCCACATCTCTGGACAACCCATGGAGCAAGGTTGCGGACAAGACAAGTTAAAGCCAGAAGTTTGCCATCCAGGTGAAACCGGGGGAAACCCCATCAACGTGATTCCGGAATAAACCCAAAGTATCAAATGGGGCAAAGCCCAATTGCCCAGACCCATGTAGAGCTTTGACACAATGGCGCCCTTTCTTTGAGACCACGCCTCTTGGTCAGGGAATCGCCCAGGTTTGAGATTGAACCAACAAGGCGGGTTTACCTGACTCTCCTATCGAACCAGGGAACTGTTGGCCTTCACTCCGAGTCTTCAAATGAATCCGGGCTTGCCTCAACATGTTTGGTGTTGTTTTTCCAAAAAATAGTGGTTCTCTTTTTGATTTCTCAGTTGAATCAAACAACCCCCCCTTTAATATACAAAACAAGAACACACACACACACACACCCGTTTCCAGACGAACCTTTCCGAACAATGCAATGCAGTCCAGACGAATCCAAACTTGACAATGCTTTGTTTGGGAGTCATAGCGAGTACGGATGAGCCATTTTTCAGGGTTTTTACACAGCGGGCTTGCCGGTTTCTTTCAAAACTGCTCTCAAACTGTAACAGGGTTCCTCATGATGAGTGTTGCCCATAAATTGGGACACCTTTTGGATGTTCCCCCCCAACTGAAAAACAACACGCTCAAGCAACCCGAGCTTGCCATGCCCCGGCAAGGTGACGCCCTTTATGAATCACCGGGCTCACACAAAAAGGTCGAGCCATTGAGACAAAACATCAATCCAGGAAGAGACAAACAAAAATGTCGGTGGAGTGGTTGCTCAGTATTTGTCACTGCCTGTTGTTCTCTTCAACTGGACATGTTTCTCCATTTTTGAAACCCCCCCAAATGGATTCGAAAGGGAACCAAAAGGAAAAAAACGAGTTTGCTGATTCTGCAACTGAACCCCGACTCCTGAGAGTCATTTGCTAAGGCCTAGACTCATTCCTAAACCGTTTCTAAACTCAGTTTCCATGCTTTGAGACTCATTGCTTCGAAGGCTGCATGTATACGTCCCAGGAATGAAACCCAGGAATGAACCCCTAGTTTATGGCTTAATCAAAACATTGCTTGTTGCTGAATGATGGCATACTGCTAAGAGATTCTAAACGGTCCAAAATGGATTCCCAGAGTTCATGGACCTAAACATTCTGCCTTTGATTGCTAAGGCGTTCAGTTGGGAACCTCGGAACTTCCCACGCGAAGACGCTGTGGAACTTTTTCCTCATTTCCAGCCCCTCAGGGGAACCTCCGGCGAAGCCGCGGAAATGCGCCTCCCCACTGCACTGACGGCATGACGGCATCCACAAAGGTGTTGCCTGAGGCCAAGCGCCCAAGCCATTGAGCTGATCTCGAGCCGTTTTGGGATTCCCTCAAATGCAACCAGTGGGAATTTCCAGGGGAAAAAAGGAATCGGCCTCCTTTTTTGGTTGGTTGAAATTAAAGGAACGGACACCCTTCCCAAAAAGGAAACAAGGGCACCACTGGGCAACTGGGTTCCAGTGCCACTGTGGCGGCTGAAATGCTTGGTTCCACTGGGTACCTGTACATGTATGGTGTCGAATGGAATCATTGGGAGATGGGTCCTGGTTTCAAGTAATATGCTATATGTTGCTGGTGTGCAAAGGGGCTTCTGACAACCTGCCACTCAACGTGACTTGACTCGACGTGACTCGACGTCGCCGCTCCGGAATGCGACGCTGCACGGCTGTGCTGAAAGTGTGCCGATTTTGAGGGACACCGAATGGCCTCTTGGTAGACACACCCAAATCGGGTTGAATTTTAATTCGCGACCCGAACTGGTGGACATCATTTAGGTGAGGTGTTGTGTCCACCAACCACTTTGTTGGGGGTTCTTTTGTTGGAACTCATGGCCAAACCAAGTTGGCATGTTGAGAAAGTTTAGGTGCGTGGAGACTGAACACATGTGCAAGGTCATTTGATCGATTGTGACTAGCACAAGTTTTGGCACTTGGCTGAGAGTTAGTGCTCTGCCGGTGAATCACGGGTGGGAGAAACACCGTGAAGTGGGATATGATATGCCGATGTCACAAGAAACAACAAGACCTGAAAACAAACACCTACGCAAATGTAAATCCTCAAAGACCTGAACATAAATGTATTGGGTCCCCTATAAGGCCGCACCGAAACCCGAATCAGTCGAAATCCCCCGTGTCGGGCAGATATGATTCACTGATCAGTGTCCTCTGAATGGCAAACTGATCAGCTGATTGCAACTTTCCTCCCACAGTTGGTTGTGACTTTTTGGCAGTTATTGATGTTTTGGGTTTCGTTTTGTCGGGAAGCCAAAAGGACACCGTTGCCATCTTGGCGGTTGCCCTCCGTTTGGAGGGCACTTGGATCCGTTTCATCTCAAGGACTTCAGTTTTTTCTGGGCTGCTCCTCTTGCCTTGAGCCAACAAGGTGATTACACCCTTTGCAGGTTCAATGCAAAACCATCTGTTTTCAAGAGGTCAAGGCGATTCGGTCCCAAAAACAAAGCCACTAGTCCTTTGTCTCATTGACTGGAGTTTGTATTCATATGGGTTTGTTGAAAAATAGGGGAGCCCCAAAGTGGTTGGTGTCCATTTGGTTTCCCTTGACACCCACCCCCCAAAAAGGTCACGTGTTGATAGAAGGCCGTGCTACGGCGGCCATTTTTGCACCTCGGCAAGATCCTGATCCATTGTGTTTTACAGTAAAAACTGTGCATGCACCCTCTTGAAAGGTGAAAAAAAAAGGGTTTCGTGCCTCCGACCCTACAAATGCAACGTTTTTTCGCAGCGTTCTATGTCTTTGGGTTCAAGAAGTGCCTAAATTTCGAAAAGTAGTTTGTGAAAAGTTGAGACCTTTCGTGCGATGCGCGCCAACCCTTGAATAAGATCGCAATCATCTTTCAATGCGCCTCTCCAAACAATACTGAATATGTACTGCAGCAAAGCCACGCCCTGCTTTGCTATTCACAGAACTGGGCAAAAACTTCTGAAGAGATTGCCAGTAGCGGTCTATGCGCTGAGTTACTGCGGCAACGCGCTTGGGAACCTTCCTGCGCTTCACGGCGCGTGTCCACTCATTCTTGTTATGCTTCGCATGGACGGAGACAAGGCAAAGTTGTTGCCAGTAGATCGCAATCAAGAGGGCCCCGGCAGGACAGGGAGGAGGTAGAACGAACAAAGGCAGTCGCAGGGTCCGTGCCAGTCAGAGTAACACGTCAATGCGGGAGTCCAAGTAAAAGGGGCCAGCAAGCCAAGCAACACCAAGCAGCGAGCGCGGGTGTGGGTGGGCACAGCCAGCAAGCCTCAGCAAAAGAACAAGAGAAAGAGCAAAAGCAGCGCAAGAAGAGGTGTCCATGCCGCTGAGCAGCTACGGCAGCGGGCATGCAGCTCGTGAACGATGTCGCTACCATCTCATCCCCCCACCCCCCACCCCAGCCCCAAGAAAGGGCTGAAACCTGCAAAAACAGCACGGCCTAATATCAACGCGCCTCCCCCAACAAGGGCTCCCTTTGAAGAGACGCGCACATAGGCAACATGACGGGCTTGAGAAACTGACTTTTCACGCGTTGGCCCTCCCAAGTTTTGGGAGACATGGTCTTCAAAAGGTTATTTCCTGCGCGGACTGGCCCAAGGTGTGAACTGTTTATCTCTCCAAGTCCCCGAAGATGGGCGACAAGAATATGGAGAGAGAGGGGCTCAGCCCGATGCGCACCAAGCATCAAGATTGAGAGGTGAAAACCCCTGAGCTTGATATAAAGGTACAAAGGTACAGACGCAGGATACAAATGGACGACCAGGGATGGGGGAAGAACAGAAGAACCTTCTCGCATGGTTTGTCCCAATTTCAATTTGTTCTGCCCCAATGCCACAACATGTTCTTTGTGCTAGCTAGTGGGCAATCGGTCCTTCATGTCCAAAACACACACCAAACATGGAGTTCAAACAATCTAACTGTTGCTAGTTAGGATGACCGATCCTTCTCCAATAGGTAAACCACTTTAAACTGCAAACAAAGTGCCACGTTCTTCCATCAGAGTTTGGTGCCAAGAGAAGTGGACAGATATAACTTTCCCTGGTGGGGTGGTTAATCCCCCCCGTCAAATTCTCATAGAACCCCAAATCCTCTCGTAGGAGGAATCTTCACACTTCGACCTCCGTTTTGGGTTACATGTGAAAAATGGAGGATAAGTCAGACCTGAATCCTTGGTCCGCGTGCACATCTTCTCTACCATCCTTTTCGGCAGGGGCAAGGTGCAAGCTGGCAACGTTTCAGTCAGAGGCACAAAGCAACTATGTGTCAAAACAGGGGACCCCCGCAAACAAACAACAAAACATGGACAAATGGAAGGAGGGCGTCCTTGGGTTTTGGGACAGCCAATCCCTAAGGCACCAGGCTCTCACCACGAATCCCACGCCCAGAAAACGCGGCGGAAATCGCAGCTCGCCTGCGGCATAGGTGGACTGCCCGGGCACTCCGAACAGTCCGGAGCTGGAAGAGAAGGCAACCTGCGGACGTCGACGTCTCGGCCGGCGAAAACAGCGCATACCAAAAAGCCACCAATGTTGACCCCGGGCAGCTTTACTCACTCGCCGAAGGGAGCGCCTTTTTTGAAAGGCACCCCAAAGGGAAATCAAACAAACATGTTGACGTCTCAAAATAAGGCAGACCCTTTACAACAATGCACTTTTGATTGGGGTGAGGAAACTATGGATGAACGCTTTTAACTCTCACAACAAAGGTCCCCCGAGAACCCAGAAAAGATTCTTTGGACATTAGAATTGACTCTCAGAAGACTTCTGGGAAGCATTCTGGGAAGCAACCTATAGACAGCCTGGCCCCCTTCACTTCCTCCCCGAATGAACCATCCCAGTGCGATGAGTGGACTGGCCAAAACAATTCCAAACTTTATGTCTACCAGTAAACTGGTCCAAACCCAAAACGTTTGAATCCCATGAGCTCGGGGAGTGAGCCTGTGGCAGATGTTTGAGGGCGGGAAACAAACACATATTTCTCGGTGCCTTCCAAAACCAACTGAAGAAGCGAGAGTTACTGAGCAGAACTAGGACCCTTGGCCCAAGGCCCATTCCTCGCGCCTTCGTCGCGTGAGGGTACTTCTTCCTGCAAAGCTCAGATGCGAGGGGAGCGACTCGGCAACTCGGCAAAGGGGTAGATGGATAGAAACAAGATGCAGTTGGTACATGGTTTATCCTCCCATGTTTCATCCATCCGAATTGGAAGAAAGACAATTATCCATCCGTGTGGCCATCCGCAGTACGCGGATCCAGTGACTTCCGCCTGGAAATGCCTATCGGAGCTCCTCAAGAGCAGGCAATTTTCAGATTTGAAGGTCGCCCATGACATCGTGCCCGCACAAGCTGGATGCTGATCTGTGGCTGTGCGTTTTCAACTTTGAAAAAAACATTGACTTGAACATGCAAATCGAAGTGTACTCATGGGGTTTCATTACTCATGCCGAAGAAAACACACATACTTCAGAAGCTTGCCTTCAGAACCTGACCTGAGCGATACTTTCATTTGCCTTTATAGGGGGTGTCCCTGGGTTTAGTGGGGAATCAGACCACTTCTCGCGGGGGCCCCACCCCCCTATAAATCCTTTTGCCGGTGCTCGTTTTGGGAATGAACCGGAAAAAGGATTCCCGCAAAGGAATCCACCTAACATTGGACGGTTTAGTCCGGGGTCATTCCACTTCTCCTTCCCTGCCCGTCGAAGCAGATACAATAATTGATGCGTTGACGGAACAACTCAGCGGTGTTACCTCAAGTGCACCGTGCGACATGGAAGGGGATCCCGCTATGGCCCTCAACCATTTCTTCTCGAGGCTCAGAGACAGATGCTTGTGCCTGCGCTTCCTTGGTGCTCAAAGCCCCTTCAACCATCCCCGACAACCGGTTCATTCCCAACACTCAAAAAGGCTATTTTTACTTATCGCAGCAAGAAGCAAGGTTGTCCACAAGGTCTTTACAACTAGGTCCTCCAGTAGAGAGGTTAGAATAAGAGTACTCTTTTTCTGCAGTCTATTTTAGTAGGGGAACCCTCCCCCAAAAAAGTTGGTAAAAAAACGGCACCTAGCTGGGGGACCTAGACAAGGTCTTCAAGGGAATCCTTCCCAAGCTTCCCCTCTCCTGAGGTGCAGGGCGCCCCGGATCTTCGGGTCCAGCACCTGAACGCCGAGACTCGCTCAGACAGACCCTCAGCGATTTTTTTGGGAGGCCGTGAACGGGAAACCAACGGGCCATAAACACATCTCCGTTGATGTGTTCTTTTTTGTTGTGGGGGAGGGGGTCCCCTGAAAAAACGGCAAACCCGCAGAACACCGGGCGCCGTCGTTTTTGAAGCAGGCGGGGGAACGCGCCGGGAACCCGACCAGAATAAGGGTAACAGAAAAACTCGATTTCAGCAAGCTATGCAACATGAGACTATTCTTGAGTGCCTCTCGCACGCCATGGGCGAAACTAAGGAACCAGGCCCTTTTAAGCGGGCTACGCTCATCCGGACCTTCGTTTCTCAGCAAGCTCACAAACACACGCAACCAAACTTTGTTCGGCTGCCTTGGTCACGGCGTCCTCCGTCAGGCTCAACAACAAGCCGTCCTCACGTCGAAAACACGTCGGAACACGTCGCCCCCGAACCTCTCGTTTCGTTTTGCTGTCACCAAACAAGGGGATAGGTGAAAACGAGGAGCCGTTTTTGTGTCAGGGCCCAACGCAAATGCTGCATGACGCCGGTCCGGTGCAACTGCATGTGCACGTGTCAAGGATTATGGCGGAAAGCGTGGCATGCATCGGCTATGCAACAGCTTGATCGTGCAATCCATAACACAACTCATGCTGACACATGCACACAAATACACGCGCATACAAGCAAGCAAAAGCAAGCAAGCGGGCAAAAGCAAAGCAAGCAAGCAAGCAAGCAAGCAAGCAAGCGAGCAAAAGAAAGCAAGCAAGCAAGCAAGCGAGCGAGCGAGCAAGAGCGAGCAAAAGCAAGCAAGCAAGCAAAAGCAAGCAAGCAAAAGCAAGCGAGCGAGCGAGCGAGCGAGCGAGCGAGCGAGCGAGCGAGCAAGCAAGCAAGCAAGCAAGCAAGCAAGCAAGCAAGCAAGCAAGCAGGCCTGCCAAGCCAAGCAAAGCCAAGCCAAGCCAAGCCAAGCCAAGCCAAGCCAAGCCAAGCAAACAACGGGAGACATACCACAGAAACAAAATAACTAAAGAAAGACAAAGAGAAAGAGAAACAAAAAGGAACGGTGGGAAGGGGAACAAAATAATAACAAACCAACAGGCAAACAACACATGGTTTTCGGGGAAGGTGTTCCTTCCTTTGATCCATGTCTAAGATTCCAACGGTTGGGTCTTGAGCATCAGTAAACCAATCAGCTTCCCACTAATTAGTAGTGTGGATCTGGGGTGGTTTCCCATTTACCCTCAACAAGGGCCAGGGGTTCAAATCCAAATCCAAACTACCAACCCAAACCACCAGTTTTTAGCTGCCTGACCCAAACTGTGCGCTTCCCGAGAGCCGACCAGACGACAAATATCAACATCGAAGTCCTTGACCGTCCCCGCGCAGTGCACCACCAAGTCGCAATCAGAAGGCAGGGTCTGCACCTGGAACAGCTTTGATTCGCAGCTTCTTGCCATGGATTGAAGGGGCTTACCCCCTTCCCAACTGGTAGTATGGTGGTAAACAAGTTTATGTTTCTTGCACCCACTAAAATTAACAGAATTAGAAAACCTAAGCGCCTGAAAACCGAAAAACATACCAACAACAGTGATGTACCCTCTGACTGAAAGATCCTGGAAGACGCTTTTCCTGCACAAGAGAGTAGGTTCAACAAGAACCAGGGCAGAGAATCAAACCAATCCAACTCCCCTACCCCTGGACGGAGCGAACCGGAGGGGTCGACCCGAAGAGATCAGAACATCCGGTCGCGATTCTATCGGGTTCACATGGTTCCGATCGCTTAAAGTAGGACAGTTAATGCTGACCCCAGATCGACAAACCTGTCTTGGTAGAGGGGTGTTCCCTCCCAAAGAGCTCTGTCAATTGGGGTTTATGAATCCGGAGTTCCCAGTATGTAGAGACCTTTGAGGGGACGGTTTTGTCGTGGGCGCTCCACGGAATCCCTTACGATTATCAAAGGCCACCGTCAAGGTGTGGATGACCACCGTACATGAAGCTGAAGCCTGTTTTATGGTCGAGGTCCTAAAGAGATCACACAATTTCCTTATTTGGGGTACAGTCATCCCCTTTGCTTACACGCGAATTTCGCCATTGTTACGGGTTACATTTGTGTATTCAAAATAAGGGTCCCTTTTTTGTAAGCCAGCAGAAAACAAAAGGACCCCAACCAACTGAAGGAATTATCCCATCTGTTGTGTTTCAGGCTACGAAGCAAGGATTCAAAGGCAGGCAGTTTTCGTGGTTTATTTCAGCCGCGCAGGCTGAAACAGCTCCCGGCACTTCTTCCTTGGCTTCTTTCTGGCATGTTTGTACATACCAATTGGATGCTGGGTTGGTCAATCTGACCTGCCAAAGGTACCCTCCCTCCCACTAACATGGCATTTCACAGAGAGCACTTGTAGAGCAAACTGATCCTCCAGGTATCCTCCCACAGGAGCTGTGTTAGTGGGGGGTAGGGCTATCATTTTAACCCGTGTTTTTTAGGGCTGGGTAAACCGTTTAGAGCAGCCAAGGGTAGATGTTCGCCCATTTGGGGTTCCCATACCATGGGTACCGGAACCAAGTAAGGGGTATGTAGGCGTATAAATCAAATTGGTTGGGGACCCTTAGGTCTTTAAACCGGAAATTTAGTCATGATAGAAGTATAGCTATTACTTATTATTTAGCCACTATGACTTCCACAGGATCCTGTGGCCTCCGTGATGAAACGAAATGACGCCAGGAACAACGAGCCAGTTTCAACCCCAAAGTCCCCGAGAGCGAGTCTCCCAGGAGATCCCTCAACGTGTGCGTTTCGGGGTCCCTTCCGTCATTTGTGGGGAGGTGAGCAGAAAGGGGTGTCTCAAAATAGGAATCGGACCCCAAGATGGCAAGGGCTTCCTTTTGGTGTCCCTTCAAAATCCATGCAAAAAAGAAGAAACACTTCCTTTAAATCCTTTTGGTGTCCCTTTCTCCCAAAAACATGAAAGTAAAAAAGCAACAATTCGGGGCGCCGGCGACTGAGAATTTTTGAACACTCGAAGACCTGAAGGTGTGAGAAATGGGTCTGAATCGGGTCCAATGGTTCGGTCTGCTCAAACTAACACGGAAGGTACCGAATCCAAAAACGAGAGAAAGAGGGCAAGGCAACGAACATGCGCGGCAAATGCCCCAAGACCAGGCCAGACTTAGATCAAGCCAAAGTGGCAGGTTTCAAGCTGAGCAAGGCAAAAGCTTCGAAGCCAAAAGTGCACTTGGCCATTCCCAGACAAGCTTCGAGGTTCTTTTTACAAAGCCAGCACGGGGCGGTGGCCTCAAACCTAGTCTGGCCTCCTTCCAGGAGGCCACGTTCGCCAGGCAGACCTCGAGGCCGATGTAAGTGGTTTGGGCTTTTTCGGTTCCGAGTTCAATCCTTGCTTCGTTTGGGATGGGTGTGGGTCAAACATAGGGTAACCCCAAAATGGGGCCCTGGTAAATGGAAACATGGACTAAAACCTGGTTTGATTTTGACCCATACCCAAATGGGAAACTGCTGGTTTGGAGCCTGGTGCTTTAGACTTAGTTCAACCCTTGGTTCTTGCGGGAAAACAAACACATCGCGAGGTCTCGTGCCGGAAACACGTATGGGCTCCGTGCCACCTATCTTCGGGATTCGGTGAGTTACTGTTCCTTGCCGGTGATAATTCGGTGTATCCCCAGTTGCTTAAGTTTTCTGGAACACTGGCCCCAATACACCCCCATCAAACTCACCCCCTATACCACCCCAGTTTCTGACTTTGATGACCCCAATCAACAGAAAATATAATGACCCCAGAAAAGTCCAGTAGTGATGGGTTTTCTTTAAAACCATTCTTCAGCAAATGAAAGCCTGTACTCCCCTTAGCTGCAACGGTGAGTTGCTGCTACAACGTCGCCAGGAACCGAAAGCCGTCCTCCGAACATACCCGTATATGTCTCACAAACTAGGGCCTACACACACCTGTCAACGGAGCGAGACTGAAGAAAACAAACACATGATGTACTGCGGCATGTCTACACATTTCACACGGTCGAGTCGGGAGGGTCTCTAAATACAAATCCTGAAGAAAGCAAGCCAACCACGTGCTATGCCAGGTTGATCTTTGTTCTCTTGCTGATTGAGGGAATAACCATACGAGGATGGTGAGAAGCAATCAGCTAGCATACCCAACAATCACGGCTGGCACATAATTAGAGCTTTGACGGAAGATGGGTGGGCCACAAGTTCGCGGTGCTTGTGCGAACTGGTTACTCACTTCATCTTAGGTTCCGAGCAAACTGGCACGAGCCGTGCCTAAATGCAGCGGGTCTGACCATGTCTGACCCAAACACGCATCTGTGTTTGTCTCTACACGAGGGGACCCCGAACATGGTTGTCTCTCTGTTGGTTTCCCTTTCAAACCAACCACATAGGGCGTTCCCCCACAAGGCCCACTCATGTTGCTGGGATTGAAACGTCCAGGACTGAGACGACAAGATGCCTAGGCCTCGCTGTTCCAAGTAACTTGACCCAAACCGGCCCGCTCGCGTAGGTTTGAGACACCTCAAGTCACACGAAAGCCCCGGAAGATGAACTTACGAAAAAAAGTTGAGCTCAACATTAGTCCGTCGGAGCTCTTCAAAATGTGCCTGAGCTTGGGGTTGCAACCGAAGAAACGAAACCAATCCATTGGCAAACTGTCTCATAGATTGAGTTACCCACCTTTCTGTGGGGTGAAAGTAGATGGGACATAAATCCCATCTAAAAGTGCAGGGGATGCTTAAACCAGAATAGGCGATGGAACGTGGGGCACAGGTAAAAGCTCATCCGAGCGAGCCGCCCGTTTTGCTTGGAATACACATCAGGTTGTTTGAAAAATGTCAGCACGAGTTACATAGATAGTACTGTAACACCTGCTTGTCTCCAAATCAAACCTGTTTTCTCAGAAATGAAGCCGAACAATTTCCCTCTATCAAGTCAACCACCCTGTCAACGGTTGTTTGACCCCTTTCAGCCCCCCCCAAACAAAATACAAAACACAAAAAAGCAAGAAACAAGACCAACAAAAAGAGAAGGGTTCCCAAAAGCGGTCCATCCCCTTGGTTTGGAAGCATCGCGTTTCGCAGTTTGCCAGCGAGGCGCCTCGGTGGGGAGCTGCTTCGAGAGCAGCTGTAAGAGCTCTGCGTTGGGCCCTGCCGCTGGCCGTTGGCCAGGTGACCCAGTGGCTTTCTGAGTCTTTCTCGAGGGCGTTTTTCCGATTTTCTTGGGTGGTAGCCCCCCAACTTTGGGCTCTAGGTTTGGATTGTCCTTTGGATTGGGCGCTCGTCGGCCGCTCTGGTTGATTTGGATTAACCCCTTAATGCAAGGGACAGGGGATTTGTTCAGTGACCCTGGAAAAAAGGGAAAGACCATTTTTAGTGGGGCCACCCAAACAAAAGGGAAAAAGGGTGCCACTGAACAACTGAGTTCCATGAGCTAAGAAAATCAGACAATGCTGTACACACGCTTGTCCTGTGACGTGAGCCGTGGGCTCATAAACGCGCCAAGACCCCTCACAGGTCCAAGCGCTGCGCTTTTCGGCCGTTCATGCGTAAAACATAGCAAGTTATAGGACGAATCTACAAAAACCAATCGCCTTTATTGCTTTCGATTGACAAGTTTGTTAGTTAAACAGAAAAAAAAACACAACACACACACACACAAGGGATGGTCTCTTTTACGACATTGGCCAGGCCCATGCCTACCTCGTGACTTGAAAGGGAGTTTCTTACCAAACACAAAGCACCGAAGCCGAATTGACCTTCACCGAGGCAATTCCGTTGCTCCACTTCGTGCCCCGAAGAATTGCCTTCATAGGATCCATCGAGCCCTCCTGTGGCTCCCTACCTCAGAGAATGCCTCAACCAATGTGTCTGATTCCGGCCATTGGGGTATGGTTAGGGTGCCTTAGGCCGGTTTCAAGGGGACCCAAAAAGCGTTTGGCGCTCAGAGTTCGACTCTGGCCATGCCCAGATAGTAGATTGTCCTAGAATCATGACGCGAGAATCAAGACCCCCCAAAAAACTCCATGCATAGGGGGGGGGGTTGGGCGCCATCCGTCGTGCCGGCCTTCGGGTCTGTGGCGGCCCATGAGCACCAAGGACTCCGCCCTGCGCTTCGCCGCGCGGAGTCGGTCTCTGAGCTGGGAGAAGGAGCTCCGCGAATCAAAACCACTTCCGGTCGAGGGGATGGCCCAAAACGAGTGCAGGTGAGCGTTTTGTTTTTATTTTCCCGAAAAGGTGCTCAAGTCCAATGCAGGGAGCGAATCAAAGGGGACCGGAGACATCTTTTTCACTTCTCCCGATCTTCAGTGTTTGAAAAAGGGGAGGCACCATCCCGGGCTGCAAGTTCCTGGAATGGCTGAATCTCATTCGCGAAGATGTCTGGTTCCTGGACATGTACCCCAAGGCGAATTGGGTGAGGTATGGCTCGTGAGTCAGGAAAATTGCAAGACCCCCAGCATAAAAAGGAATTCCAACTTGAGCATTCCCCAAAGACGAGGATTTCAAGCCTCTTAGATGGGGCACCTCCTAGACGACCAAAGTGAACTCCTGGGATCTCGTCGCTGACCCCATGATTTCTTAGCCTCCACGTAGACTAAATGGAAACACCCCGAGTATCTGAATTCGACACTTACCAGTAAGCTAGGTCCTCCAGTGAGAGCTTAGAATAAGGGTACCATCTTTTTTCCGTAGCCTGTTTTAGGGGAACCCTCCCAACCAAGAAAGGGGGTGAGAGGCCGGGCACCTAGCTGGGGGACTTAGTTTAAGTGACCAGCCCAAGCCCCGGATCCCGAGCTCACGACGCACCTCCCAGTCTCCGCCAGCCACTTGGCGACGCGAAGGCCCAAGCCGCGCAAGCCGCCAGTGACCAGGGCGCGGCGGAACCTGCGGTTTTTACGTCTGAACTAGGCTGGAATTAGGACCCCAGCAAAAAAATATATCCTTTTTGCATGGTTATGGAACACAAAGGGGACCCCAAAAAGCCAAAAAGAAAGGAACTAATTCTGGGGAAGTGAAGGAATCCCTTGCCGGTGCCGGTGCCCCAAACGCAATCCTTGGGAACAAATGAGCGATTCACTTTGTGTTACGTGCGAACTTGCAGATAGAAAGTATCTCCTGGGCTATAGTTCGACTCGTGGACCAAGTGGATTGCACCAAGCGGACGAATCGTCCTTTTAGCAGGCCCCATACGGCCCCGGCGCAGTTTTGCTTTGCTTCTTCTTGTGAAGTGCGCCGCAAAAGACTACGACTTCGGTCTGATTCGCAAGTTGAGTTCCCTTCCCTTTGCTTGCTTCTTCAAATCATGCCCAAAACGTCCTTAAAGCAAACAACAACACTGCCCAAATCTCGTCACCCAAACTTGGGCATATTTGCAATATTGCAACAGAACCAAACACCAATGCCAGAAACAGCCAAAAGGCCGATTGGTGGCGGCAGCCGGCATGGCTTTGGGCGGACATTCCCGCTTCCCTAGGGTACATGACCGTAGGAATCTTCCAGGAATGCTCCAACGCTGTCACGAGTCTCGAGAAAGCTGGGTCTGTGGAAGAACACAGAAAGGACCCGATATCAAACAAATCACCCTCTTCGTTTGATCCTCTTTTGGAATCAAAGCAAACCTGCCTCCAATGAAAGGGCTTGTGTATTACACCCTGGTTACACCCACTGGGCAGAAATCCGCGGTTCGAACCTCGCACCGTGCCAGTGAGCACCCCTCACCCGCCTCGAGGGACTTGCGACTTTCGGCGCCGGCACAGCGCGCAGGCGAGGCTCAAAGATGCCTGGCCCACTGCAACTCCATCCAGTGAATCCCAAATTGGTATACAGAAATTCTGAGACAAAAAAGGCGAAACATGTGCGGGTCAACCAGGTTGCAGGTACCTCAGTCAGGTTTTGCTTCGGGCCATTCTACTTCTCTATAACTTGTATCAATGCTCATCCACTGTTAGCTGGCAAAGACGGAGTCCGAGCCGGCCCCCTTTTTGTGGATGTTGAAACCAATCGGAGGGCCCCAGGTGTTGGCACCATCCCAAATGACCACTGATGTTGTTTGGCTGTTCTCCGGTATGTGTTCGGGATTGCATGGTGCCCGACCAGGTTTATTAACCCGCAAATGGACATAGTTGGTCCGCCTTCAGTTGCTCAGGTGTTGGGTTGTGCTCAAGCTAGCTTAAGGCGGCTTAACTTGCTCATCGTGCTGCAGACCGAGCCTGCCCTGGTCGGCAAATCCTTTCTCCGATTGTTGAATTCGCGAGGCGTTTAAAGCCATCCAACAGAGTCAAAAGAGCCCAAGTTTCCAGGCATTCCAAATCATGCAGGCTCAGCTGCTTTTGTTTTTGCAGAAGGGGCCTCTATGAAATTGCTCTTGGGATCCCTTCAAAATCTTTGAGGAAACCAAGCTTTAACGCTCTTGGCCCATTTCAAGGTCACGTGCTGCGGAACCTTTTAGCGACAGCTTTGCAATGAACAAGGGGTTGAGCGACTCAACCATCGGCTGAGCACCTCTCCAAACTTTCCTGAAACCGAACGCGAGACCCCCCAACAGAGATTCCCATCAGAAGATTCCGGCGGTGAACCTTGCAATGGTCGCTTACCAGGCTCTAGGCTAGAGGCTTCTTTTCCAGTGCCAGGTCAATGCGTCCGTAGCACAAAGGAAGCGATTAGTGGTATGGTACTGACGGTGTGCTGCACGTCGATTCCTCAAATCACTCTGTGCACGGCTAGGCAGCAAGGGCAAAGGCAAGGCAGGCAACCAAACTACCCTAGCACGCGTCTAGTTGCGGGAGCCACCAGCCCCATGGGCTTTGGACGACTCCACCAAATGCAGGATGCGAAGGGAGTTCCCTTCCGGAGCTCCCAAACGGGAGGTTTCCCGATTGCTTGCCAAGCTGAGCCTGCGACTGCGCGACGCAGTGCCCTGGCCTTCCGTGGTGAGGATGAACTCCCCGGCTTGCGCTGGAAGCCTGGCCATCGCCAGGCTTGCGGGCTCGCTTCAACCCGGCCCGTTGATGCGAAGCGAAGAGGAATCCCAGATTCATAAACCCCTTGCACAGTGAGGGCCTACAAAGCACATGTCGGGTCGAAACATTTGAGGGGAACCGGCTGGCCAGCTTTGGAAAGTATCTAAACCGTACAAGGGCTCAACTGTGAAGCCTGCCAACAAAAAACGCACCCCTGCTATGAGTATGCGGTGCCAATCATTGGCCTGGAGGTTTCGGCAGGGGCGGTTCAAGGAGCTGGGGGTTCCAACGACCCCCAATTGAGGGGAAGCTGATTTTAAATGAGCACGTTCAAGGTGTTTGAAACATCGGGCGACGCCCGACAAATGTCTGGCTTTCCTTGAACAGCCCGGGCGTCCTTGTTGAATCCTCCAAAACGCGAGGACTTCAACCCATGAGGTGTTGGGAAAAATGAGTCGAATCCGGATCCAAAAGCCCACCCCACCCCCCCCCCCCCTTAAGCCCACCCCCCCCCCCCTTAAGCCCACCCCACCCCCCCCCCCCTTTTCATTGTCAGCTGGGCACCTGCGGAATTTGAGCCGGTAGACCCCGAGACCCGGATTTCCCTGCCCCGGGAAAACGCGATGCGGGAAAACGTGGCAGGCGGACGGGAAACCATGGGTAGGTCCTCCAGTAGAGAGGTTAGAATAAGGGTACCCTTTTTTCTCTAGTCTATTTTAGTAGGGGAACCCTCCTAACCTGGTAAAAGGGCACTACCGGGGACCTAGATGGAACATGGGACGCTCCGCTTTTCCCCCGGCGGCCTGGCACTTTATTCTCCGGCTGGCCAAGGCAGTAACTAAACCCTTTAAGCCGCTTGGAAACCAACTCCTCGAGGAACCGACTGTTCACCAACCCAAAATAGGTCACAGGGGTGCCCTAAAGTGGAAGCCTTCCCCATGAGGGTTTCGGTTAGGTCGGGATTCAAAAATGCGCTCCGATGAATTGTTCTACCTCAGCTCTTGCCAACCAAAATCAAATATGATTAAATTCTGGTCATATTTAGTAAACCCGTTTGTTTTATATCTGGAAGTTCTTTTTTGGTGGGTGAACTCTTTCTTTGAAGGGACACCACAAGGACACCCTTTAGCGGATCAACCAGATTGCACTCCGCCTCGAAAAAAAAAAAAAAAAAAAAAAAAAAAAAAAAAAAAAAAAAAAAAACACGACCGCTGATACAACTTCGGGAAAGGAACCCGAAGCTTAAGAAAGAGTCATTATCTCCAACAGCATTCTCCCATGAACATGTTTCTCTTGGTGGGATATGGTGGGATAGGAAGGGAATGAGAGACGGAATCCTTATAAACCATCCAACTTGTGGTTTCCTTTAAGGGGACTCCCCGAACGGTTCATTCCCACATTCCCTACTGAGCACCAGCAAGTTTACCAAAGTGGTTGTTTGCCCCAACTGCTTCGCGGGTTTTGTGGGTATCACAGAATGTGGCAAGCTCCACTCCATCCCACAACCAGGGCTCCTTATCTTTGCCCACCTATCACCCCACCAAAATGAAACCTATACCATTCAAGGAAAAAATGGGGCCTTGCTCTTAAAAAGCCTCCGGAACATGTTCCGCGAGCCCAGCATGTTGACCCCGGATTAAGCAACCCCTGTATATTAATATGGGGGCGTTCCCCTGCAAAAGTGGTCTGAATCCCAACCAAAACCAGGAAAAAAAACACCCCCACTTTCAATCAACAGGATGTTTTATTCATCTGGCGTCAACATTAATGTTGACTCCAGATTAACAAACCCCTGCTAATTAACATGGGGGGTGTCCTCAGTTTTAGTGGGGATTCATCACTTTTGGAGAGGAACACCCCCATAATATAAAACAGGGGTTTATCCATCTGAGGTCAACCTTGGGGACCAGAGCGAGCCGGGAGCCCATGGCGCCTCACGGAGGATCGTCCCTCCAGGAGAAGCAGCCTGAGGCGGATCTCCGGGTGCTCGTGCAGTGCGGTGCGCAAGAAGCCCACCAGCGCCGCGTACCTCGCGGGGGCTGCGCGGTAAAGCGGAGCCGCGAGGGCCGGCGGGAAAAAAACCGTCTTTTTGTTGGAAGCCGAACAATGGCAGGGAGCCAGGGATTGTGAAAGTGGAAAATGGAAAACATCTTGGATGAGAAAATGGAAAACATCTTGGCAGGTCAACGCTCGCCGGCTCGGAGAACAACATTTGCCCCATGGTTTCCAACGTTGCCATTTTTCACGGGATCTCGTCAACTGGATGCTGCTTGGGACCTGTTGCAAACTCTTTTTTGGGTGAGTATTTTTCCCCCGAGTTCCAGCAAACAAGTTGCGCCTTTCGATTTCCTGCAGTTTTGAACATCGGAGTATCCCAACAAAATCCACATGTCCAGAAGACTGTGTCTGGGCGGGCGGAGAGGGAAAATGGGACAGTCATTATTTACCCAGGTCCCCTCCCATCATCCAGCTGCATCGGCTTTAAAAGTCCAAAAGTATGCGACTCTTTTGGAAAACAAAAGGAGGTTGCTGAAACTTATGTGGCCAAAACTACGAGGGTGACAGCAACAACCGTGTCAAAAATTGTGTTCAGGCATTTGTGGTCCTTGAACAGCGTCGGAGCAACTATGGGACGAAGCGGCACTAGGGCCCCTTTCTGGGATGGACTTCCGACAAAGATCAACAAGGTGGACCCACTTTGGGTTCGCATTTGAAGAGAAAGCAGAAGGACACCCTTGTCATTTTAGGAGACCTGTTCCTGTTTTGAGAACCGATCAAAATACGCCCGAAAGCGTGTAAGAAGAACTCCAGCTATTTCTCAGAATTGGTTTGAACATCTTGTGGCTGAGCGTCAAAACTAGAAACCCTATGGGTTGCTGCCTGTGGTGCTTGCAAAACCCCAACATTGGTCTCAAAATGGGTTCACATTTTTGACGCCTACCATGCCTTCCCATGCACTGGCCAATAGTTGGGTGTTTCTTTCTGAAGGCATCCTGTTGAGGTTTGGAAAACAACAGCCCTTGCCCATTTTAAGTGGAACCTTTTTTCAGACACACCTATATCCAAATCGCATGCAGTGCGCTTTTGGTGCCACCAAAATAACTGAATTGCCATGGATCCATGTCGCACTTAAGCCCCCCAGCACAATTAAATCAGGAAATACTTCCAGGAGAAATAAAGTCCTTTCAAACCAACACGGGGAAAGCAAACACACACACACACACACACACACACACACACACACACACACACACACACACACACACACACACACACACACACACACACACACACACACACACACACACACACACACACACACACACACACACACACACACACACACACACACACACACACACACACACACACACACACACACACACACACACACACACACACACACACACACACACACACACACACACACACACACACACACACACACACACACACACACACACACACACACACACACACACACACACACACACACACACACACACACACACACACACACACACACACACACACACACACACACACACACACACACACACACACACACACACACACACACACACACACACACACACACACACACACACACACACACACACACACACACACACACACACACACACACACACACACACACACACACACACACACACACCACACACACACACACACACACACACACACACACACACACACACACACACACACACACACACACACACACACACACACACACACACACACACACACACACACACACACACACACACACACACACACACACACACACACACACACACACACACACACACACACAACACACACACACACACACACACACACACACACACACACACACACACACACACACACACACACACACACACACACACACACACACACACACACACACACACACACACACACACACACACACACACACACACACACACACACACACACACAGCTTCTTAAGCAAATCAAAGGTATCTCTTTCGCCTCGCCTCAAAGTGTCCTGCAGCACAAAGGCCACCTCCAGCGAGCCTTTGGATTCCTGCGCTAACCTCGGATGCTCGGCATCGGCATCACCACGAGGCAAGCGGTGCAAGTGGCGCTGGGAGATGTTCTCCTACACCCTGGCATTTTGCCCGGGGAATCGCCCTAGCCTATCTCCAGATAAAGCCTGGTTACTCTCATTCTCTTGGGATTAGGTTGGGTCACTTCCCACTCGGGTGCAACCCGGGTGGGAAGATCCATTTCTCCAGCAACCCCTTCGCTAAGGAAAGTCTCCAGTGGCCAGGGCCCCCGACTTGCGGCCAAGGAAAATGCCCAGGTGAGACTCGACTAGGTTACCTCCCCACATGTGTTTGGCTTTCTTAAAATTAGACCCCCAACAAATTGCTGGTGTCCTTTGGCTTCCTTTAGAAAACCACCCAAAAAGAGTACGCTCAAAAAAATAATCCCACAGGAGAAGGGTGATCGAAGACCCTCGCGTCTAGATCGAAGATGAGTGCCTCACAAGGCCATTTCAACCTGCGGTACTGTGGCCGGACAAAATTCTTGCATGGACGGAACGCGAAGGATGGACCACTGATCAACTGAAGCGCTTGTCGTGGATTTCACAGTGGTGCTTTACTACGGATAGGTGACACACGAGGTAATGAAATCCCAAGCTGATTCCAGCCATGCGCGTCGATACCCACCTTTACCAGACCTGTGTTTGTCTTGCTGGTGCGATAGGTAGGGATGGCAATGAACCGGAAGGGGATTCCCTTGAAGGAAACCGCCCGTTGGATGGAACTTAGAAGGCTTCCATTTCTCATTCCCTGCCTATTTCCATTGAGGAAACGGGATGGAACTTACAGGGTCATTCCCTCACTCCCGAACTTATAGCGTCTATGGGTTATAGCCATCTATGGTGGTTGGAATGCCAGTTTTAGGGTTCCATTTCTCATTCCCGGCACTCGCACCAGGTCGAGAGAGCGCAGCTCCCGGTTTCTCGGGGCTCCGAGGTTCTGAAGTCGCCGAACAACCCCAACACCGGCGAACGACCGGCCAAACGTATTCAGAGCTCCACATAGTACCTTCATGCTTGCTGACCAAGATACAGGCCATGTATACCTACCCCAAAGAGTAGTTCCTAAAACCGAAAAAGTGAAATATCAAGCCAAGAATTCGACTCCGAACCTGTGATGCAACTGTGCTGCACCTGTTTCCTCCTGGCAAGTCTACAATATCTTGTTGCAAGTGCTCAACCCGTTTCATCCAATCGCAACCAGGCCGCTTCTTAATCATGACTGCGCAGTTCAGCAGCAGCTCTGCTTGCGACTCATCGTCCACATCGGGTTCCTTGCCGGCGTTGGGCAGAATTTGTGAGCCTGGGCCCTTGAGCCCCTTTCACTGGCAACCAAAAGGATCTTGAAACCAAGACCTGTCCAACACTAGGTCCCCCAGTAGAGTTAGAATAAAGGGTACCAACTTTGCTCTGTAGTCCATTTTAGGGGAACCCTCCCCCCAAAAAGGGGTGAGAGGTCGGGCACTACTGGGGGACCTGGTTCCTTGCGACGGGTTGTCGCCGAGGCGGATCGCATTCCACAGTGCTGCGCTGCAGTGTTCTGAGCTGTGGGCTGCAAGGCAACATCCTGAAGATGCGCCACGCACACAAAACACACGTGTCCGCGCAGCTGCATGCGACATTATATATATATACACACAGACACACATATATACATATATACATAGTTATACATACATGTACTATATACACATAATAGACACACACACACACAAACACATTCGCTTCAAGCGTCACGGATGCGCATGGTGCACAACCATCCAACACCCTACGCTGAGAAAACCAACGCCTCATGGTCTCCAAAGTGCTGATCTTACAAATCTGTCTAGGTCCTCCAGTAGAGAGGTTGGAATAAGGGTACTCTTTTTTTCTCTAGTCTATTCTAGTAGGGGAACCCTCCCAACCAAAAAAGTTGGTAAAAGGGCACTACTGGGGGACCTAGCTGTTCCCGGGGCTGATTCCTTGTTGTTCATCATTTTGCCAAGAGCAAAACCGCCAGATGGTCCCACACATTGATCCAGTTTGCCCTGGATTCCACCTGAAAAACAAGAGCATCGGGTGCTTGCTCGCGTGGCTTGCCGTCTTGGCTGAGGCGCTTTGGTGCTGGTGCCAAGAAAGATCAGGAAGCCGCCTGCGCGAAACGCACCCGGAGCTGATTTGCTTGTCGGGCCTCAAGAAGGATACTCGGCTGTGGGTCAAAACCCTGTACCCCTGGTGAACATCAAAATAGGTGTTCATCTGCCCCAAAATGGAGGCATAGGCCATAGGTTATGACCTATGGCCCACATGGCTTGCTTTGAGCCTGGAATGTTCGCGGTTAACTGGATTCCCAACCTACACCCTAAACATCATCCCCAGGCCCAACAGGCGATGCTGAAAACCACAAAAAAAAAGGAAAATCTATGGAGAACTTGTGCGATGCTGCTGGATTTAGGGCATCCTAATGACTTACTTTGAGGAGCCCTTTTAAAGCTGTCAGGAAGAGGGCCCCGTGTCCATGGGAAGCCTTCGGGTCTCTTACCTTTGGTTTGGAGCTGGGATTGGTACTGCAGCCTGGCACAAGCCGGGGTCGGACGCATCAAGAACCACATTCATGCTCAAGATTCCATGGGCGCTAAGCTGTAGATTCGCCAGCCTAGGTGGTCTTTTGGACAAACCAACACTGGTAGATGATTCCCCCCCGACCGCAACCAATGGAACCCGTTGAAGCTTAACTATGCTGACATCAAAAGGTACACTTATCCTGCCAGTGTTACCCCCTCAAAGCTATGGACAGCTGACCCTTTTCAGCTTAGGACCCCAGCACTGGATGCCAACTCAGCCGAGTCCAAGGCTGAAACTGGTCTCATGATTTGGTCAGTTTCGTACTATTCTCACCGTGCTGTGTTGCCCTCGGTGACCCAGCTCTAGGTATTATTGCTAGCTGTTCTCCGGCTCGGCAACCCAGAATGCAAGCCCAGGACAAATGAGCTTGGCCTATCACATGGGAGTCACAATCAAAACCTGGCAGTAAAATGGTCTACCCAGAGCCATGCAAAGAATTGGAAAGGCGGCCGCTCTCATTCATGTCTGGGATTTTCCCTTGCTACCCTGCAATTATCCTGAGTTTGATTGTGACTCATGCGAGGTGCAAGCCGAAAAATCCCAATCTCGAGCAAAAAGGGACCCCTGGCAAGTGTCAACATAGGGAGACCTCTTTAAGCCAACCTGAAAAGGGTACACTCCAAAACCACACTCAAATTGTCAATCCCGAGAACTTATCACAGGATCCCCAAGCTTGCCCTTCGCTGCAGATGTTGCGCAAATCCCATATTTCCACCCTGTGTTCAATTTGGGAGGTGTATTTCAACCTCCCATTGTTTCAGCCAAACAAAGGGACCTCAACGTGTACAACCCACTTTGAGGAGTGTCTACAGGTAGCAGCTTGCTGTACTGCGTCCACCTCTTGAATATGAGCAGTCTGAGTCAAGTCCGGGGGCTATCATTCAGCCACGCTGTAGGAGCCTAAATGTTGCCGCACAGAAAATCACAACAAAACACAATCAACAAACGTAACACAAAAGCCACAAGGCACAAACATATCAAACATGAAGACAACGAGAGGTCAAACAAAGTCCACCAACCGCATGTTTCTGAAAGCCAAAACATGTTGAAAGGCAACAACAAGCCTGCGGCGCGTGCCGCGTGCAGCGCGCGGGGCCAAGTGGTGAGAACTGTCTCCGGCATGCCCTGGCATCGGCAACTGGGCCCAAAGTGACATATCGTCATATGGCCATGGGTCAAAATCCGTATCGTCCCCCCAGTGAACATCCCCATCCCCACTAAAATAGACTAAAATGGGTGGTGCACCTACCCCAAAATGGTACCATTGGTTTTGACCCACAGCCATATAATATGTAGGTTGGAGATGGTCGCACACTCGTTACAAATATACAAAACACCTTCGAACAATGCTCCAAAACAAAGCAAGAATACGAGAACCAACCTGTGAATACCAAAGAAAACTCAGCCTTTGTAGGTTTTTTGCAGGTTCAGATTGACCATCCAAAAAGGGGTGTCTAAGTTTTCGATGCGCCCAAACCTCCTGGTTTTCAGACGCAAAGTGGGATGGGCATGCGGCAAAATAGTGGGACCCCCAAAATGGGTGGTTTTCCGCTGGTTTTCCGCATTACGTGCTGTAGGATTGTGTTGAGAGCACAAACATTGGCAGGGAAGCTTCGCGTCCAACTCACAAGAAACAACCAGCTCACTCAAATGACTACTTGATCCCTGGAAACTCCTTGAGTCTCGAAATGGGTCAAAATGCCTTGACTTTTTTCGGGCCCCACCCCAGAAAGGGCCGAAGTCCCGCATTTGCCACCCACACACCCATACCAATTGAGTGGTACCCGAAACCGATTGACTTTGAATTCTACCAACATGATCACTATCATAGCAATAATAATTGTTAGTATGTTTGATATTAGAAATACAGCTGTAATGATGATTTTGCTTACTATTATACTTTTGCGTATTCACATTATCATTGTCATGAGTACTGTTATGATTCCATAGGCCATACGTTTAACCCGCTTAAAACTTGGTTTAACCAAGTTCCATGTGCCATGGCTGCCCATGGCTGCCCGGTTTAATGACTTCAAGCGCTCAATGGTCATCTGGCTGTGCGTCAGTTAGGGGGCTTTCCAGAATGGATAGGGTTTCCAGTTGCCTTTCAACCAACCTGAAGTGGGGGAAAGCTTCACCTCAAAGCAGTGACACACCCTCGTTGCTTTCTGCTCCTGCTCCCCGATTAACTTGTAGTGGTTTAATGGAAAACCCATTAGTTGCAAGAAGTGAAAGTCCTATCCAAGCAAAATGTACCAAAGCACCCATGCGCGTCATTTTGTGGAGCCTGGGGTAGCGGGCCGCCCTCATCTTCGCCATCCCAGAGCAAGGCCACCATCTTCCTTGGGCCGAAGGCGTTCAATCGCTGGGAGGTTTTGCAAGGTTCTGTTTCCACGTCTTGTGCGACGCAGGTCTGAAGCCCTGAAGAGTGAAAGCACTTGAACAGAGACCTGAAACAGGGATTTGGTGCCCTAAGTTAGAACCTGCTTTTGTCAGATCCCAACAAAGGACCAGGCATAAAGGGCTCCCAGCACATGTCGCTAAGTGAAGGTAAGACAACCCCGTGTTCTATTTGCATTTACATAGCCACATGATATCAATCAAGCTGAAATTGGGCCAGAGCCGTTCCAGGAAAATGGGGGCAGGCTTTATTGAGGGGCCTTGGGTCGCAGGTTCCAAATTGGAACCTTGTCGGCTTGGAACCTTTGCAGAACATTGTCACTTTGAACTGTTCAGGGGTTTCCTGAACGCAAAGCAACCAGCGCTGTCTATATGGTTGAGAGAGTGGTGAATGAATGGTGATGCCCCTTTTGTCGCGAGGGTTCCTGTCGCGTCACCGAGACTGTTAGGGTTCTTGAGCCAAATGGCCCGTTCGGGGAAACCCATTACCTAGCTATATGTTAATTCAAAGAGTTGACTTCCAGGAAAATCTAGAGGACATGGCCCCAAAAGACCTGTTTTCCTGTAGAATGTCCTGTAGCCCAACCCTTTGATTTATGCAAAACAAATCCCACACAAACCATCTCCCTGATTTTTTTCGTCTCCCGCGGATTCCGAGCTTCGGCTGCAGAAGGCTGACTTGGGCCTTCTCCCGACAAGCCTCGTAGAACCAGTCCTCGCAATCTCAAGATCTCGCCAAGCGCAAAGGGCGGGGGGGAAGATAAGGGAAGCAAACATCTGGGGGCTTTTCACGTTTGAGAACCCAGATAGAGTTGTTGTGCGCCAAGGTGCTGGCGAATTCTTGCGCCAGGTTTCCGCCGCTCCAGTGGAGAAAAAAGGCGCCTTCCAAAGTCATGAAGCACTTTGAGTTCTTGCGTCTCGTCGCTGTCAAAAGGGAGACGAACAGTAGACATCTTCATTTGGCACTCTTGAAAATCGTCAAAGTTCACAAAGCTTTCAAAGGAACTCAGATGGCCCAAAGAAAAGGATGCTTCATGGCATGCTGTAAGGACAGGTCCTTTCAATACCTGCGTGTGATCAGACGGATGAATGCCAAGCGTCCTTCTTTCTTTGTTTTGATAATTCGCTTTTTCAGGGTACCCTTTCAGGCAGGCCCATACAATTAAAATGGCTTCACTCAAAGTCGATTCCCAGTGTCAGGACATTCCAATTCGAGCATTATCCTTCTTACTCGCCAAACCAGAAATGCAATGGACTCTTTCCCTGTGACCAAGCAGCTGTTTTCCATTCGTAGCGCTTGAAGGAGATGCTATCAAGGGATGCTATCTGCCAAGGGTGATGGAGGAGAAGGGATGAGCAACTGGGGGAACCAGCTATGGAACATCGTGCTTGCCACCAAAAACAGCGGATCTAGCACTCACCAGCTCCTTCTAAGACTCTACCGGACAATTTCTCCAAGTCGCCTCGGGAAGATGGACGCGTTAGCCAGGGCTGGGCTAGCCAACCATCTGAATATACATCTCCGTTCGCCAGAAAACCAAGGGCACCTGCTTCTTTCGCTAGTCTGAAGGAGGTGTCCCCGCCAGCAAACATCAGCCAAGAGGCCGGTTGCCTTGAAGCCACCTTTTGAAGGTGACCCCAAAAAGGGTGCCCTAATTTTCACCCAAATGGGAGGGTGTTTCCTCGCATTGGCCCACCACCCTCCCCTTGGGTTTCTTGTCCCTGTTTCCTTTTATCGCTTTCTCCAACCGATATAGAATGACAGAGCATAGGACAGAGTCATTCGGAAAGAAGCATATCCTTACGACTTTTCTTTTTGTTTTATTACACTATTACAAATGAAATATGCTTCTTTTCTCCACTCATCACTCACTCTCAGTACCTTGTTCCATTCCTCACTCGCCTCTCCTCCAGCGTCTTCGGCTTCTCCGCTGCCTCAACCTTCGGCTTCGCAACACGGCGCACCTTGCCCGCGGCACCGGGCCAGTACGCCTGCGCGCAGCAAATCGGGCACGAAAGCCACGGTTCTCGGGCGCATCTTTAAAAGGCTCATTTGTTTCGATCTCGACCAACGCGGGAATGCACAAACTCATCTTTGACCTTGACTAAACGAGAAGTTGACACCGCATCGATAAACCCATAAGGGCGCGACCAAAACTGATGCACTGCCAATATTGCCAGCGACTGAACAAAGATGGGCCACGGGAAGGTTGAAAAGTGGAGTCGCTTTTAAGTGGGAAACGGAGACTTACATGGAATACCCATGCCGCCCATGCCTTTTTGCCATGACTTTTATTACGGACCACGGAGACTTACATGGACGACGGAGGAGAATGCTGATTTGTGACGCTGCAAAGAAGCAGCAGGCTGAGTCGTGGGAAACCTTTGAGCCACCAAACTCTCTCTCTCGCGCCAAAATCTCTCTGTCTCTCCCGCTCTCTCACTGCATGGATTCACGAAGTTTGGCTCGAACATGATTAATCCAGCGCATCATCCGCAATGTTTCTTGGCTTAAAGGGAAACCGACAAGTAAACACCCAGGGACGACCCATGCTCGGACGTTCTCCCTTTTGGAGGGCTAACCTACGTAGAGTAAAACACAGCCAAGTTTGGCACGACATGCGCAGAGTCTCATCCGGCAGGGCTCCATGTCTGGCGACCCCCAAGGAGAGTTGGGTTTGGACACAACATGTTGAAACAACCAGGCCATGTTCCGTGCCCCTGAAAGAATTCAGGGGCAATCCCAGGTCCACATGCATGCAGGTAAGCAAGAGATCCATCATGCAGCACTCGTCACAATTCTGGCTAGCTAGTCAATGATGGCTTGGAGGGATCACACCATCTCTGAGGGGTAGAAGGTCCAAATTCATCTTCGGAAGGCTTTTCAGAAACATTTTATCAGGGGTTTGGCGGCAAGCACAACTAATTACTCCGGACTGGGCATGGCATTCACTCTCTAGAGCCCTATTTTGCTTGAACCGCAATCGCCTGTGCCCGCATGTGTGTTATCAAGCCTAGGCCACCTAAGGTAATACCTAGGCAAGCAGCAAACCGTTGACTACTTTTCACACTGCTGGTAGTGCTATTGAAGTCTGTAGCGGCGGAGCATGTACAAGGTACACTCATGCACAGGGTTGGAACCTGAATCCACACCCCCCTCATTTGAGATTGGGCAACAACGAAAATGTCGGCAGGTTTTGCAACCCGCTTTGATTCCATACGCACATCCATTGCACGTTGAAAATGGACATTACACATCCGTCGTGCATGCAAATTGCTACTCTCTCTCAGAAGGGCTCCGTTGTGATGAGGATTGCATTCACCACCTTCCGCTAGTAGACCAGCCGCGCGAACTCCAGGTCGACCACTGCCAGCTGCTCCAGTCCTGACTGCTCCAGTCCTGACTGCCCCAATCTCTCCAGCTTCGGCTTCTGGCAGCGGAGCTGGAGGCGGGCTGAGCAGCTTGCACAGGTCCGCGGGCGCGGTCCTCGGCGCTTTGCCTTTGGCTGCGCCGTGCGAGCTTCTTCGCATCGTCCTCCGCCTGGCCGCAAATCTCCTTGACTTCAGCTTCGAGGTCCACGGCTCCGGTTGCCCGGAGCGTAGGGAACTTCCCGCCAAAGGTGACAAGATTGCGCATCCCCGGGAGGATGTTGACCTGGTCGACGAATTGATGAAGACTCAGCATTTTCCCGTTGTACGAGAATAGCCATGGAAACTCGAGCAGGCTGTCGTCATAGTCCCCGACCTGGCCGCCGGTGACGTAGACGGTCCTCACATATTGGAGGCCTCGTTTTCCATAGCGTGGCCCAACCCCGAGAAGTCGTTGGTCATAACTCCGTGGAAATTCGGGGAGGACACAAAACCTATAGATGGACATCTGGTAGAGGCTGTCGCGGTTGTGCCCTTGCTCCACCATGCGAAGGGCAAAGGTTGCGTCTTTGTCGAACCGATCAACCACGTTGCCGTACCCAAGCTTGCGGGCCCTGCTGTCGTAGTTCTTTGAAGCCTCGATCTGCTTGGCTTCAAAGGATGTTGCTCCTCTCTTTGCAACATCAGCATAGCCCTTGAAATCATTGATGAGGAGCTGGTCAACCGTCTTGCCGACGCGGTGGCTCACCTCCTCAAGCATCTGTATCCTCCGCTTTGCGGCTCTGAAGAGCTGGACGTCGTTGGTCTCCTTGGTGCTCCGTCCACAACGCTGACACTTGATCTGCCCCTGCATCATGTCCTCGCCGCAGAGGCTGCAGTCCGTGTAGTGGACGGGCATCGCAAAGGTCTTGAAACGGACAACTGAGGTGTCGGCCGCGGGTTGCCCCGGGCAAGAAGCGGCCGTATCCTCATTTGTCTGCTCTTCTTCAGGATTTGTGGCCCTGTTCCCCTCCGCATCGGTCTGAAAGGCCTCGTCTGCAGTCACAGTGACGGCTCGCCTTGCGGCGAGCATATCGACAGTCGTTTGATTCTCCAATGCCTCAAGACGAAGGGCGTTTCTCCAAAGCACTTCTCCGGTCTTCGCGTCTGTGTAGTACAGAATGGAGTCATTGGGAACGATGTCGTTGGTCAGCATGACATCAGACTCGGAAAGGAAAAACACCACTCCGAGCTCAATCGCATACTTGAAGTCGATCACCAGCTCAATGGGCATAGTTGCTCGGACTCCAGCATTATACGATGAGCTCTCTACCGGGTGGATGGAAAAATGGCTTTGCGAGCGGCCACTCTCCGTGACACCAACGCCACCTGGGACCAAACCTGTCCTGACGATGTTCTCGGCTGCGTTCTTGCTCGTGCGATGGTATAGTTTGCCAGGGCCATCATCAACCGGTGAAAGTTGCAGTCCAACCTTGCGAGCGTCCTCCGGGAGATGCTTCCCATAGACGGCCTTCGCAAGTGCATACTGATTCCGGCTGATGTCGCCATCAGCATCAACGCTGCTGGCGTGTCCCTGACTGGCACGAACCTTGATGACAACCCACTCCTGGTTGTTCTCGGCAGCCGAAGGGTGCTTGATCGCGAGGACGGTGTATCTGCATTTCGGATCGAGTGCAAAAATCTTCAACAGCGTTTTGTACCCGATATTGCTGCGGGTCTTTCTGTTGAATTTGTCACATAGCTGATGGACGTCGACAAAATAGTTCTCATCGAAGTCGAGTGGCCTCTGTTCTTGAAACCTGCCACGAAGCATACCAGATATGGTTGTGCACCGATCGGTAGAGGACGTTTCTCCCTTCATGAAGTTGGGCACCTTCAGGATCGTGCCCGGGAGAATCCTCGCCTCATACTCCTGGCCGCGGAAGATGACGGTTCCGCCGGGCTTGCCTGGCAACGCGCTTCCGGCAGGGGTTGCCCCCCGCACATCCGATGCCACCGCAGCAGTTGATGGTTTCGCCTGTACCTTAGGCGATGGTTTCGCCTGTACCTTAGGCGATGCTTTCGCGGTGAACTTGGGTGTAGCCGGAGCGGCCTTGACGCCAAGCGCAGCCTCAGCGGCACTCCCTTGCGGGAGTGCATCATCGTCATCATAGTCGATCTCCTCCTTGATTTCGACTTCCTCGATCTTTTCGAGGATGCGGCCCTTCGCGAGCTTGATCGGACGTTGAAGGCTTTCCCACGACTCCAGAGTGAGCTTCCTGTTCGCCTCGTACTCGGCCAACGTGTTGGGATTGAGTCCAGCATCAGCGTCATGAGAATATTCAAGGTACAACCTGATGTTGTTGAAATCTTCTTTGTGGGACTCAACGACAGCGACACACTTCATGACGTTGTACAACGACCACAGCCACTCCACCGTCGTCTTCCGGTTCTCGATGGAGTCCACCATGTGATAGTTGTCAAGCCGGTCCTGACGAGATACCAAGAACGTCGACTCCTTCTTGCGAAGGAGCTTGTGCTTGTTGAGCGTCTCATCCAACAACTTTCCATGAACTGGTTGTAGATGGGCGGGAGCATGTAGTACGAACCCTCGGTGTTGGCCAAGATCGTAATGTTTGCAATGCTCCACCAACTCCTGCACTCCTCAAGCACATCGATCGCCTTGGCGCACTTGTTGAACAGCTCGGGCCAGTGACCGTCTCCGCAACGGTATGGCCATTCGGGCTCATCGCAGATCCCACCACTGCCAACGAGCTCGTTCCCGGACCAGTACACCGTCACGTAGAAGTCGTGGTCCTTAAACTCAGGGCGCTTCTTCAAGTCCTTCATGGCGCTCTTCACTGTCCACGTGAGAAATGCGAGATCCTTTCCCCAACACATTCTCACCTCACAGTGGGTACAACCAGTGCTGCGGTTGTAGTTCATGTCCTGCGCCAAATCCGCCCTCTTGCGGTTCTTCTTGCCACCGCTGATGAGGGCGAGGCTGGAGTCACTCACAACAAGGTATACGCTATTCCGGCCACAGGTTGCCCCGGGCGTGATGCGGCCAAGACCTTTGTCGTTAACGGCGCAGAGCGTATCCATGAGCTCCGGCGCGTAGTCAGCCGACCACATGGCGCATGAACTCTGAAGGGTGGCCTGGGCTCCGAGGATCTGCTCCATTGTCTTGCGATCCTCAGGCCTCGTCTCCTGGAACAAGATGTTCGACGTGAAGCTCGTCATCACACCTCGCCAGTACTCCAAGTTGCCCTCGTCATACTCCCCGAGATTGTAAGCAGCCATTGCGGCTACCGGTGAGGGAAGCTTAAGAGCAACAAGTGCACGTTTTGTGGGTCTCTGAGCCGAGCTATCGGTGACAACCTGTTTCATGCTGTCAGCAAACTCAGAAAAACATCCATGGATCAGGTCAGTCATTTCATACGTGTAAGATTCAGCACGTTTGAGGGCCGCCCCCCTGGACTGTCCATGCTGATGATCCTTTGTGCACTTATACTGTTGCAGTTTGGCCAACGATTGACAGGAAGAAGCAATAGTCCATGACTTTTGCAACAAATTTCCATCCTTGTCCAGGACACCAAACATGCAACCATCACAATTGTACTTGACCATCTCATATTTCATGA